ATTCCTGCTCTCACGGTCCTCCCTTCTAAGGGGCCTAAGTGGCTGCCCTCCTGCCACTCCTCCTGGAGACCCTGGGGATGCAGTGGATTTACTGTACAAAGGCTCAGACTGTCACCTCCAGAGCACTCGGGGCCGAGGGGCCTCTCAGCAAGCACAGTGGGCAGTTGTGTAAAAGGCTCCTTCAGCTATTCACCTAACCAGTTAACTCAGCTCATCATAAGCAGAGGAATTAATTATATTTATTGGGTGCACAAATGCCAAAGCAAGCCCGCTTTAAGAATGCGTATAATATGTACGGCAGCTATTTCTAGCACAATGAAGCCAATTATTTTTAAAAATAAATCCTAGTCCTGGTGAGAGCATATCTATAGCAACTGTCGGGTGGTTATTCTGGTCTATCTCAGCAAGGAAAGTCAGAACTATGCAAACGGCCCCGTGCGCACTTCACGGGGAATGTTCCGTGCTCTCAAGCGCCCTCTCCCGGGCTAGGCCCTCTGGAGTGGCAGTCTGGCCCTGCTCCCTCACGCCCTGTCTGCAGACCTGGCGGGCTGGCCTCTCAGACTCCGGGCTGAGCTGGGTGCTGAGCCGGGGCCCTTTGTTTTTGCACGTGTGACTGCCCTCTGCTGCTGCCTTGGTCACTGAAGGAGGCCCTTCCACAAGGCCACTCCTCCCTCTAGCCCAGTGCTCTGTCTTTAGTCCTGTCCCCAGCTCTGCCACGTAAGTGCTCTCTGAGACTCCAAGCCACATCTCTCTGCGCTTACTCCCACCCACTCCGCTCTGCCTCTCAGCCCTCCTCTTACCCCGCCCTCGGCCACGGCTCTCCCGTGGGCTCCCACTCACGGTGACTTTCTGTGGAAGCCCGTGGCCTTTGGTTTCAGAGCTCTGTGCTCTGATGGCAGGCCCTGAGGCTCACTCCTCCCCTGGCTCACCTCGAGCTCAGCCCAGGGGGGCCTTCTCCACGCCCTCCTGCCATCGAAAAGCCATTCCTTGTCTGCTCTGTGGCCTGGCACCCTCACGGCCACTGTCCTGCTGTCAAACTGATGGCAGTCCTGGGCTTCCTCATCACGTCTCCCCCAGAGCCTCTGAAGCCAGAGTGCTGACTTCATAAACCACAAACCAGGAACAGCCTGGGCGGAGCTTTCAAGTGCCCATCCCCACCTCCCTCTGCACTGTGTCTGTCTCACTGCACGGGTGACGGGGCAGAATGGCCAGGGGCGAGCTCGCACGTGCCTGTTACATGCTTGTCCACGTCGCCCTAGCCCGAGGCCTTCATCCCGGCACTGTTTGCATCTCTGCTCCACAGGCGGGGACGCTGAAGCCAGCAAGAAGAGTGAGTACCTAAAGCCACAGCGACACGGGGCCTAGGCCCAGACCTCTCCTGGAGCAGTCCTGCCCTGAAGCCTGCCCTAGGATGGAAACACGTCCGCACGGCCGCGTCCCTTGTTAGAGGATTACGTTCTGTTCTTTTTTTCCAATTTATTTATTTATTTATTTATTTTAATGGCCAGCAAGCGACAGAGCAAGAGCAAGAGAAGAGAGAAAGTGAGAAAGCAAGCTGCCAGGTCCGGGACTTGAACGTCAGTCAGCCATGTGGGAGTCCAGAGCCTTAACTGCCATGCCACCTGCTGGCCCAGGTGGCTAAGTTCTTCGAGGACAGGATTTTGCCTATTTTCTTGGTAGCGCGGAGCCTGGCAATGGTGCTCACACCCCAGCCGCACAGTGAGTGTCAGCTGACGGGCTAGGTGCCTGAGACCCAGCTTCGCCGTCCCAGCCCCCAGGGTGCCTCTGCTGAGCTCGCCCTGCTCAGCCGGCCGCCAGGAGGACACAGTGTGGGCCTACAGCTCCGAGCCAGGGCCCCGGGGCATGCTCGGCGTGCAGCCTCCGTCTGGCCTCCTTGAAAATCGAGTGTCTCCACAGTTGTATCAGTTACTACCTATAGAGTTTGACACTGTCATACTTGCGCACGTGTGTTCACAATCATTGTGTTTTCTTGCTGTTTACAATGGGCATACAACATCCTGTCACCTTTTTGATTCTTAACGTGGTTTTATTTGAACATATATTTAGTCTTAAATTAAAATGTTGCCTGCTCTATATTTTATTTATTTTTCCCTTACCTATCTCATGTAGATATTAAGTCATTGTATCTTTTTTTTTTTTTGGAGAGATTTTTGCTATAGGGCGTGTGTGCTCGCCAGACAGACAGAGAGAGAGACAGAAAGAAAGCGAGAAATCACCCCCCAAGGAAAATGCCACGCCGCAATCCCTTTTCCTCCATTCTCCTCTTGGGATCTTGGGCACGCACGCACACATGCCCGGTGTGAGTTTAGCTGCCGAGTCCAGGACTTGAACCACGGTCAACTACATGGGAGTCCAGCCACATAGCCATTATGCTAACTGCTGGTCCCAACAATATCTGTTTTGAGAGTCATCATCTTTTGATAGGTGACCAGTATAATCCACTCACATTTATCATGCTTAATATTATATTCAGAATTATTTATCCATATTAGTTCATGTTTTTTGTTATTATATTCTTTTTATGTTCCTTTTTCTAAATTCCCTTGAATAGATTTTTTGCTCATTTTAATATAATCTATATTTAAAAATTTTTTTGGTGGTCATTCCTAACTTCACATCCATACTTATGCTTATTCTTCCTATCATTTAAAGAATGTATCATTATCAATTAAATATTACATGTGTATTTGTTTTGTTTCAGTAAATTCTTTAGCCGTCCATGTTCCCTGTATTCCTGGGGCTCACGTTTTTGCTGCAGTGCCGTCTTTTGGAATGGCTCTGAGAGTCTTTGTGTAATAGAAATGTCAAGGCCTCTATGTCTAAAACGCCCTTACTGGATAGCCACGTAGCAGTGCTTACTTAGCCGGATATAAAGTTTTGAGTTTAAAGATTGTTTTCCTTTGGGACCAGCAGGTGGTGGGGTGGTCAAGGCACTGGATTCCCACATGGCCCACAGTGGTTTGAATCCCAGGCCCGGCTTTGAAGTCACGCCAGGCACATGCGTTGTCTGTGCCAAGGTCCCGAAGGAGAGTGGAGACGGTGGGGGAGACTTCTACTCTGCTCTTACCATCCCTCTCCTTCCCTCCAGTGAGTGTGCGCTCTGTGACCAGAACGCGGACGGTGACGGTTTCCCTTCAGCATGGATACTGCCGTGCCGTGGCCTCCCTATGCCCAGTGCTGTTGGTGAACGCAACGTCGACCCGGCTGGTGTTTCTCTGGACACTTGCAAACATGTCCTCACGTTACCGCTTTTCTTTCTGCGACCCTAATGTGTGCGTGGGTAGGCCAAAGTCTTCCGTGTTTCTTACTCTTCAGATCCTTTTAATAGCTCACATATTTCTTTTGGAGAATTCTTAAGACTTATCTTGTGGCAAAGTAACCTCCAGCTAAATTCATCCTGCCATTTAACCCAGGTGTTGATCTAAGTCTAACTACCGCTGTCCCGTTTATTCTGTCCATCTGCTGTGGGCTCCTCGTCTTCTCTCTTTCCCACGGTAGCAATTACATTCCCAAGGAGGCTGATGATTTCTGCCGACGTACTCCCCCCGAGACGTTACCGGTCTTTGCTGGAAACGGGTTGGAGGGCTCACTGGCCGCTGCGAGGCGTCGTCTGCCTTGAGGACAGCTGTGGGGCCGAGGGAGGCGCACGGGCGAGGAGCCTCCGCGTGCAGGTGCGTGTCTTCCTTCACTCACGTCCTGCGTGGGAACTGTCCCCTCGGGCTCATTTCCCAATACTTGGCCTGTGAAGGAGGGTCAGGTACAGGAGTACTCAGCAGCTGAGCAGCCGGAAGGACCTGCTTTGAACTGCCCTCCATCCCAGAAAATGTGTAGGGAGACCTGGCTTTAGTTCACCACCGGCCACACCGCAGAGAGGGCATTCACAGAGCTTCTTGAATCACGAGCGCGTCCTCTATCCTAGAAAATGTCCACCGTGATCTCCTCAGAGATGAAGGGCTTCATTCTCTCATTCTGGGGAGCCACGTCAGGCACATCCAGCGCTTGGCCGGCATCCCGTGTCTGTTCTTCCCAGTCTTTTGCTCTCCGAGATCAGTCTTTCAGACCAGTAGCTCTGTAGTGCACTGTGCTCATCCTTTATTAAACTTACTCAGTACATTTTTAGTTTTATATCGCCATTTTTGGCTAGAATGTCTACTTTTTAAAATTCTTTTTTACATTTCTGTCTTTTTTGGAGATGACCCATCTTTATTTATTTATTTATTTATTTATTTATTTATTTATTTTTTGAGAGGTTTTTGCTATTATTTATTTATTTATTTATTTATTTATTTATTTATTTATTTATTTATTTATTTATTTATTTATTTATTTATTTATTTATTTATTTATTTATTTATTTATTT